GAACAGGATTTCTGTGACTTGTACCAGGGAGATTTTCATCCGAATGGTGGCACCTTGTGTCACCGGGTGTGAATCGCTTGTCGTGCGCCCTGGTGGGGTTGAAAGTCCTTCATTATGTCTAACTCTTTCTTCGCCAAGCAGTGTGCTTAACTTTTTTTAAAATCTATCGTAGAGTTTTTGTAAATCTGGTTAAGTCTAGAGAAATTGAAAAATACAGCTTTAGGACACAAGGGATTATAGTAGGCATTTTTTTTCATCCTCTCCACATTTTGCTTCTCCTTCTTCTGCTTCTCCTCATCCTCTTTCTTCTTCTTTTGCTTCTCCTTCTTCTACTTCTCCTCATCCTCTTTCTTCTTCTTCTTCTTCTTCTTCTTCTTCTTCTTCTTCTTCTTCTTCTTCTTCTTCTTCTTCTCCTTCTTCTTCTTCTCCTTCTTCTTCTTCTTCTTCTTCTCCTTTTCCGCAATGAAGCACAGGCGTTCAACCAGCTCAGCCTGTGGGTTCCAATCTAAAGACGTACTCGTTATACTGTTCTCAGGTTTTCTCAACGTGTGTTCTATCCAACGCCAGCGTCTTTTCTGCCCCTCTTGGTCCACTTGAACTTGTTTAGTTCTCCCCCAAAGCTCTACGTTAGTTATTCTATCATAACATTTAAGTCCCTTGATTCTGCTCAGACACCTGTTAATGAATGTTTGTGGTTTGTCTTAGTTGTTCTCCGTGTTTCCTCTCCATGAATCAGAATGATGTTAATTTCTGAAATGATGTTCCTAATGCAATAACTCCATATTTTCCGAGGTCTTCCGCTCGCTCTATCTATAAACGTTGTAACGTTTTAGTGTGGCTCGCTGTGGCAGACTGTACCAGGGCATAGGTGTCCAAACCACTTAATTTGCTGATCTTTGATGACCTGTAAGACTGGTTTTATTCCAAGCTTTCGTCTGATTTCGTGATTTCATATTCTGTCTTTCCTTGAAACTCCTGCAGCTCTTCTAAGGCATTTCATCTCTGTTATCACAATTTTACGTTCACTGTAGGATGTGAGTTTTCACGTTTGATACTGATAGTGTTGGCCATAAAATAGTTCTGATAAGATTCACTTTAGTACTCTGAGGTATCTGCTTGTGTGTCAACAGGGAAGATAAGTAAAGTAAAAGTAAAGATCCCTTTTTCACGCCTTTCGGCGCATCGGGCACATGGGCAGCGTCTTTACAGACCATCAGCACTGTGGTTACGCCGGCTGTCTTTACTTTCCCAGGACAGCCCATCCTGGTACCCATTTTAGGCTGGGTCGACCTGCGACGTCCATACCACGACAAAAATCCACGCAGCCTGCAGTGGGTTTCGATCGCGGTATGCTGGCTTACGAGTCAGACTCGCAACGCCGTAGCCACGGACGCCACAACAGGGAAGATAGTTGCCCCATTACTTGATTAGCTTTGGCACATCTCGAGCTAATTCCTCTGTCCAGTTTTTCGTCGGATGTGAAAATTGCTCCCAAATACTTAAATTCCTCTGTTTGTCTTAAGTGACTTAGGTGTTGTTTTTTAATTTTATTTCTAAATTGTCTTTTTGTCTTCCTAGATTGTTCTAGCATGTGCAACATTCAGCCACACGATGACCACATTAACGTAACAGCATATATCCACCAGCGGCACGGAGGAACGGCCAGCAACTACGGACAACAAGAACTAACCTTCATTATGGTGCTCGACGTCAATCGTCTGCCTAATGTCCTTGCTGTCGACATTTGCCAGCTTGGACAGCAGGAGTTGACTCAGGTTTTGCTTCTTCCGGGCTGCTGGTGGCTTTGTGTGCACTGGATTTACAGAAACAGGAAATATTTTGTTTATAACGAATTTTAATCGTTGAAAGAGAAATATAGACAGTGGGAGGGAGATACAGATTTTCAAAAGGAAGACAAAAGAAAGATTGGAGAAAATGGGGGTGGGGGAGGGGTAGGAGAGATAACTAAAAATTGTTACATAACAGCTATACAAATTGTTAATTCCAAACACACACATACAGATCGACGGACGGACAGACGGATGGACGGACGGACGGACGGACGGACAGAGAGAGAGAGAGAGAGAGAGAGACAGACAGACAGACAGACAGACAGACAGACAGACAGACAGACAGACAGACAGACAGACAGACAGACAGACAGACAGACAGACAGACAGACAGACAGACAGACAGACAGACAGACAGACAGACAGACAGACAGACAGACAGACAGACAGACAGACAGACAGACAGACAGACAGACAGACAGACAGACAGACAGACAGACAGACAGACAGACAGACAGACAGACAGACAGACAGACAGACAGGTAGACAGACAGACAGGTAGACAGATAGACAGGTAGACAGACAGATAGATAGATAGATAGATAGATAGATAGATAGATAGATAGATAGATAGATAGATAGATAGATAGATAGATAGATAGATAGATAGATAGATAGATAGATAGATAGATAGATAGATAGATAGATAGATAGATAGATAGATAGATAGATAGATAGATAGATAGATAGATAGATAGATAGATAGATAGATAGATATAGATAGATAGATAGATAGATAGATAGATAGATAGATAGATAGATAGATAGATAGATAGATAGATAGATAGATAGATAGATAGATAGATAGATAGATAGATAGATAGATAGATAGATAGATAGATAGATAGATAGATAGATAGATAGATAGATAGATAGATAGATAGATAGATAGATAGATAGATAGATAGATAGATAGATAGATAGATAGATAGATAGATAGATAGATAGATAGATAGATAGATAGATAGATAGATAGATAGATAGATAGATAGATAGATAGATAGATAGATAGATAGATAGATAGATAGATAGATAGATAGATAGATAGATAGATAGATAGATAGATAGATAGATAGATAGATAGATAGATAGATAGATAGATAGATAAAGAAGAAGAAGAAGAAGAAGAAGAAGAAGAAGAAGAAGCAAGGAACGAAAAAGAAAATGCTGTAGCAGCAGCAGCAGTCGAGAAAGTAGAAGAATATTTTACCATCACCCCTAATAACGTTAGGATACCACACAGAAACAATACATGCAATGTCATTCTACGGTTTAATTAATCACGGACTTCGCTACCAAAACTGTATTACTATTATTACTAATGACACTTGCCATATTTGCGTATATGTTCTACCATACGCATCGCTGTTTAAACAGTGATATTCACACACTGGAGTCATCGCTAAGATTAATATAGGCCAGACTGATAATTTAATGGGTTAATTGGCGTTGTCATTTTGATGCTGTTGTTAGTTTGATCTTAGTGTCGCGTAGTTGTCTACTCTTGGCTCAGCTATCTATTATTAAGATATAATTTACATAACATTGGCTGTTCTGTCAAGACGAAGTATTGCAGATTATTCAAGCAAAAAGACACAGAACAACAACACCGCGGTACATCTAGCATATTCAGAGGACTGTTCAGGATCTTCACAGGTCGTTCCGTGATATATTAAATAAGCAGCTACTAAAAGGAGCTGTCTTCTGTGTGTGAACTGCTCCTTGTCGAAAAAAAAATTCTGTTGTTATATTTTTATATCTCTTGTGAGTGTGTTATAATAATTATTTTCCTGGGTGAGAAGAGTAAAGTAACAACTGTCTGTGACCCAGGGAGGACATACACTTTTTCGAAAGAAAGCAGTAAAGGAAACCAAACATGTTTTGCTGGCATCAACAGTAAGTGATCACAGTTAATTGCCTATCCTAAGCAAGACATTGCAGATTAGCCCCAGTTTTTGCTGCTTATCGAAATCAAGGCAAAGCTGTCTGCCGCCAAATCGCCTGGAGAGAATCGAACTCGGTATCAAGAAAATTACAAACCGCGTTCGCAAGTCCTAAGCCAAAGGCGGTCATTAAAGTAATCAGTATCACCTAATTAGTGACAAGGAGGTTCATCATCAAGAAACTTCAGATAGATCCGTAGGTGCATTGATCTCTTCCATAGTATCGCCACATGCGTAGCACGACTAATCACAAGTGTTCCGTGTTCGTGAACCAAGCGTCTTGTGTCCTTATCACTTGAATATCTAAAAGTGTAACATCTTGTTTGGTAGCCAGTCTGGTTGATCACCGCTGGACACAGAAGTTTTGACAACCGTATGTCGTCTGAATCAACAGTTGGAACCTAGGTACACATAGTAAGTCAGGACACATGTCATGCCAGTGGTGTATTCGGCACAGGATTGTGTAGATACAAACACTCATCAATATATTTCACAGCTCTCCAATAAATAAATCAGGAGAAATAAGTAGAGATTACTGGACACTCTAGACAATAAACAGAGAGACAGTGTGGTTAAAAAGAAAAGTGTGGCGAAACTGCTGACTCGGTTAATATGATATACTGATCAGTAGTTGCAGAAGACACAAAAGAAACGTAGACATTTGAGAAGACAACATAAATATTACAAGCTGTGGGCAAACCCGCATCGACACCATTATTCGGAAGGTTTAATAAGTTCGCAGTTTCTTGTTTCTCTACGTTGGATTCAGAGTTCTGAGGCAAAAAGAACATCTGATTTATCTTCGAAAATTGTTGTTTTAGCGGTCAGACATACCGTTATCATCACACACCTGCGCCTATTTGTTCTTCGTAATTTTCTGCCTGAGACCACATATTTGTTCTTTGGATGTAACCTGCCGTTATTTGCAGATCCTATCTTGTATCCCAGTGTTACTCTTTCAGCGTGAGTGATTGGGACCAAAACGCTTACGGTATTTTGAAACAGGGTACTTGTACAATATGAGAAGACATTTCAACAGCAAAGACGTTTATACAGGTTCTATCTTCTAGTGCTTTTAATTTGTATCAGAACATTTCTTTGACTAGTTCAAATCTAACCGTTGAATAACATATATACGCCAGGAAAAAAAAAAAGAAAAAAAAACCAAAATCCATTTTATTAACTGTACAAAAACACGGGAGCAAACATGAATTCAAAAACTAAAACAGTCAACGCATCACTGAAAGACGTGGACTCGTGGATAAGCCATCTATACGACTGCAAACCACTTCCAGAACAAGACGTCAAGGTCATGTGTGAGAAGGCCAAGGAGATCTTAGGTCAAGAGTCCAATGTCCAGGCGGTCAAGCTTCCAGTGACAGTGTGCGGAGATATCCACGGCCAGTTCTTTGACCTTCTAGAACTGTTCAAAGTTGGCGGCAATGTGCCAGACACCAACTACCTGTTTATGGGCGACTACGTAGACCGGGGATTCCACTGCGTGGAGACTGTATCTTTGCTGATCGCCTTGAAGGTAATGAAAGCTTGTGTTTATATCATCATCGTCATCATCACCATCCTCATAGTATCACATATTTGAGAAACACTTATATCATGTTTAATGCCTGCCCAGAGGTTTGAATTTTGACTTTCATTCTGAAGATCTGGACTGGTCGCAGTTACTTCATAAAACATTTGCTGCTACTTATTCTAGACTGGGTCAACCTATAGACATGGTCAATTATAAAAGATCCTCCCCGTAAAGGTAAGACTGGGGGGGGGGGGGGGGGTGCGAATACAAATCGAAGGCCTCTCAGCGGACAGACAAGCGAGAAGTAAAGGGACACGGGCGCTTTGTTGACCACATCACCCACCGGCTCTACATCATATGCAGTCATTAACGGGAGCTTTAGTTTGAGAGAGAGAGAGAGAGAGAGAGAGAGAGAGAGAGAGAGAGAGAGAGAGAGAGAGAGAGAGAGAGAGAGAGAGAGAGAGAGCAAAGCAAATTCCAGTAAATCAAGAGGTTAAGAATAGACGGTGGCACTGGATAGGAAGCATGTTGAGAAAACGGGAGAACAGTAGAATTTAGAGTAGAATTTCAGCTGAGGAGCATAGAGACAAAGGCAGACACCCCCCTCCCACACACACACACACACACACATGGAGTAGGGTACTAGAGAATAAAGTTCAAAGATAGGGAGGGCATGGAGTAAGCTGCATATATCAAAGGATAGGAAAGGACGTCTTGGCGTGAGTCGGCTGTTGGCCATTGCTCCACGCTGAGGAATGAAGATTAGTAGCAGACGAAGACATCATAAATCTATGGACAAAATGTGTGAAATCTTCAGACCAGTTTGTTATAACTATAAAGTAATGTCACATCTATAGACCAAGCTTGTCATTTGTATCGACACCAGCACTTAACTATGTCAATGATTTGTGTGTGTGTGTGTGTGTGTGTGTGTGTGTGTGTATGTGTGTGTGTGTGTGTGTGTGTGTGTGTGTGTGTGTGTGTATACACATATATAGAAGATGTGCATATGTCAATTATAAAAGCTAATTTCTAAAATCCCCACTCACTGACCTATACAATCATCCCTCACTGATATATACAGTTACTATTGACTGACCTATACAATCCCCACTCACTGACCTATACAATCATCCCTCACTGATATATACAGTTACTATTGACCGACCTATACAATCATCCCTCACTGATATTTACAGTTACTATTGACTGACCTATACAATCATCCCTCACTGACCTACACAATCAGCACTCACTGATATATATATACAGTTACTGTTGACTGAACTATACAATCCCCACTCACTGACCTATACAATCATCCCTCACTGAAATATACAGTTACTATTTACTGACCTATACAATTCCCATTTCACTGACCTTTACAATCATCCCTTACTGATATATACAGTTACTATTGACTGACCTATACAATCATCCCTCACTGATATATACAGTTACTATTGACTGACCTATACAATCATCCCTCACTGACCTACACAATCAACACTCACTGATAAATACAGTTACTGTTGACTGACATATACAATCATCCCTCACTGATATATACAGTTACTATTGACTGACCTATACAATCATCCATCACTGATATATACAGTTACTATTGACCGACCTATACAATCATCCCTCACTGATATATACAGTTACTGTTGACCTACACATCATCACTCACTCACCTACACAATCATCACTCACTGACCTACACAATTATCACTCACTGACCTACACAATCATCACTCACTCACCTACACAATCACCACTCACTGACCTACACAATTATCACTCACTAACCTACACAATCATCACTCACTGACCTACACAATCATCACTCACTGACCTACACAATTATCCCGCACTGACCTACACAATCACCACTCACTGACCTACACAATCACCACTCACTGACCTACACAATCATCACTCACTTACCTACACAATCACCACTCACTGACCTACACAATCACCACTCACTGACCTACACAATCATCACTCACTGACCTACACAATCATCACTCACTGACCTACACAATCACCACTCACTGAACTACAGAATCACCACTCACTGACCTACACAATCACCATTCACTGACCTACACAATCACCACTCACTGACCTACACAATCATAACTCACTGACCTACACAATCACCATTCACTGACCTACACAATCACCACTCACTGACCTACACAATCACCACTCACTGACCTACACAATCATCACTCTCTGACCTTCACAATCACCACTCACTGATCTATACAATTACTACTGCCTAACCTAAATAATCCCCAATTACCAAACCTTACAATAGCCACTCACAAATCTCCCAGAATTCCCACTTACTGACTGATCTTACACTTTTTACCCACTGATTTATAAAATCACCAGTTTTTAACATCTGCAATCGCCACTGACCGACCCGCACAACTTTCAGTCACTGACGAATACAACCCACAATCACTGATCTCTACAATCTCCCCAGATCCGCTACAGAGACAGAATCACCATCTTGCGAGGCAACCACGAGTGTAGAATGAGCACCCAAGTCTACGGCTTCTACGACGAATGTCTTCGCAAGTACGGCAACCCCAACGTGTGGAAGTATTTCACCGATCTGTTTGACTATCTCCCTTTGACAGCAGTGATAAACGACACGATCTTCTGCCTGCACGGAGGGCTTTCACCTTCCATCGACAGCCTCGACCACATTCGCGTTTTGGACAGGATCAAAGAAATACCACACGAAGGTCCGGTTTGCGATCTTCTATGGTCTGACCCGGAAGACAGGGACGGTTGGGCACTGTCTCCTCGTGGGGCAGGATTCAGCTTTGGGGGAGATGTTTCAGAAGCTTTCAACCACACAAACGGACTATCCTTGGTAGCTAGAGCACACCAGATGGTCATGGATGGCTTCAACTGGTGCCACAATAGAAACGTACTGACCGTGTTCAGTGCTCCTAATTACTGTTACCGCAGTGGAAATTACGCAGCTATCATGGAGTTGGATGACACGGGAAAGACCAGATTGACAGTCTTTGAGCATGCAAAAGTTCAAGTACCTGGCAGTTCAACCAAAACTGTGCCGGACTATTTTCTATAGCAGGATGATCATAGCTATATTAATATATATTTATTTAAAACAACAGTTAACATTTAATCAGATTATTGTATAAGTATGTCGTATTAAACTGACACTATAGAGTGAATCAGAAATATGGCTACGTGTTCAAAATACTGTACTTGTAGGTGCAAACAGGCCTGTTAAAAGAAACCGAAATCCCGCTTCGCTAGCGCAGTTGGTTAAACCTGTCTTCACGGCGACCGGGTGACGAACTCCTTTTGGTCCTTGTTCACGCCCGGGGGTAGGCAGAAAAGCCAAATTTCTCCCAGATTTACGGTATCTATCATGGAAAGAAGGTCGAAGGGTTGCGATATCCATAATACCGAACCTAAGGGTTAACAACTCAAGGTTTCTGGATATTCAACAAAAGCAGAGCAACCAAAAAAAAAGAGAGAGAGAGGAAGAAAGAAAGAAAGAAAGAAAGAAAGAAAGAAAGAAAGAAAGAAAGAAAGAAAGAAAGAAAGAAAGAAAGAAAGAAAGAAAGAAAGAAAGAAAGAAAGAAAGAAAGAAGAAGAAGAAGAAGAAGAAGAAGAAGAAGAAGAAGAAGAAGAAGAAGAAGAAGAAGAAGAAGAAGAAGAAGAAGAAGAAGAAGAAGAAGAAGAAGAAGAAGAAGAAGAAGAAGAAGAAAGAGAAGAAGAAGAAGAAGAAGAAGAAGAATAGAAAGACAGACAGAAGAAGAAGAAAACATACACACAGGCAAAAGAAAACGAATAAGACAGACAGGTGGGCAGACAGATGGACAGGCAGGAGAAGTAAAAGACAGACAGACAGTCAGGTACACAGAAAAAGAAGAAGAAGAAAACATACAGACAGGCAGAAGAAGACGAATAGGAATAAGATACACAGGCAGACAGACAGTCAAGCAAGCAGGCAGACAGAAAAATAAAAGAAGGAGAAGAAGACTAAATGATGTCCAATCCTATCAGAATTTAGGAAATAAGTGTTAGGAACAGCTGATTGACAGAAATAAAGAAAAGAATTAGATTAATAAATTGAAACTAACAAATGGAAGACAAATGTAGTATCAACAATTTTATTTATTCTTTTCCACTAAACAATATTTATAATGTCAACGCTTTTTATTTTTATTTTTATATCAGAGTACAAAGATGTCAACTCAGAGCTAGTTAATGCAACTAATCCCCGCATTTGTCTACGGTCGATAGCTAGCTATAAATAGGGTACATCCAGAATGTCGACACATTTTAAGACTGGAGGGATGTTATTCAATCTACGATGGGCGTTGTGTAAACAAAGTCGTGCGATTAACTACCGTCGTACAAGTTGTATTAACTCGTTGCTGGCTCTGGGTACGGTTTGGCATGTAAAAGGTCATTTCCCCTGCATAGTCCAAAAACTACAAAAATGTATCAGTCTCCATAATTGGTGTCTTTTAGGACACTGAGGCTTGGCTGGGTATGTAACATGTAGTTTTAACTGCAAACTCCATAGCTACAAAGATATGTTACCCCCCCCCCCCCCCTCCCACCTCGTTTCCATAGGTGTCAGCACAGTGTACAAACGTCTGAAACACTAGCGAGGGTCCAAATGCCTAACATAAAGCAACAGCACGTTCTATACATTTTCTTTTATCGTTTAATTTTAAGTTATATGGGGCTGCTGTGGTAGCGTGGTCAGTGCGCCTGCCATAAAAGACACTGGTCTTGATTCACTGTCTAGTGTGTGTGTATATATATATATATATATATATATATATATATATGTGTGTGTGTGTGTGTGTGTGTGTGTGTGTGTTTTCCCCTGACTACTACAGCTCGGGGATTGACTCAGCCACCCACACAAATGTAGCCATCGGAATAGGATCAAAGAAATTCGCCGCTTTAAGAAAACAGTAGCATATATGCAAGGGTATATTTTATTTACAAAGAAAACACAATTAAAACCATAAGGATATGTTAAAATCACAGCCACTTGCAACAGTTCGTGTTGATAGGTACACCGGTTTTCGAGAATGTTGTTAAAGTTTAAGAGCACAACTTTTGGAACGGACTATAGCCTACACCAGTGTTAGTTTACTCTTGTTTATGCAGAAGGCTCGCATACTTACATAAAGGCATAATAGTGTAAGCTAAATACTAGGCATGCATACACACCAGCACATGAGGGTACGGGACACATTCGTGTTGCACCACTTCTAAATTAGGGAACGGAATAACAGGTGAAGATCGTTATTGAGGTTACATGAAAGGAATACCCACCTGCAAGCTTTGGTGGGGGTTCTGGTTTGTTTTCGGGTGACAGGGAGAGAGACCCAACCTAGGTCGGTGGGAGGGAAAAAGGTACAGGACGGTTGGCAACCGTTTGAAATGTGGGCTGCCTTGTTGGTTGTGAATTTCAGTCAGTAAATATTAGACACAAAATGGTGGCGTAGAATATGGACCGTTCTTGATAAAACACATGCGATTCTCTGTTGTGTAACCTTTTTATTTTTAACTTGTTGTTGAAGAATGATACTTGGCTGTGAATTTTTATGTTTTTATTTTGTTGTTAGCTTCAAATCAGATTAGTTTTTAAGAAAGAAAAAAAAATGTAACGTTCAACGATCGTTTCAGAAGGGGAAGCTGTTGGTTATAATTATGACAGATTATTTGCGCCACTTAAAATGGCTTAACATTGCTGGCTACCAAGAAGCCCTGAAAATGACACGTACAGTGTTGAAGGAATCCAAGGAGACAGACCCAAACACTAGAACGACCGACGAGGAAATTACAGCCATGCTATAAACAACCACGACGCATTTACGTCATTGGATAACCGCACAAGAAGAAACAGCAGCAGATCCCCCCCCCCTCCTCCACCCCCACTCCTCTAACACTTCCATAAGCTACCTGCTTTGGAGAGGGGGGAGGAGAAGAGAAGCAAACCCCCATAGAAAGAGCATGTCAAACAGCGGCCCGCGGGACGCTAGCGGCCCTGTGCAAGCACACCTGTGGCCCGCAAAAAAAGATATTCTGCAATAATTTTCTTATTAAATGACTTCAATTAGTCGTCTTGTATGGCCTATTGGACAGCTCAAATGTGACCCATATGGTTGTCTGGGAAAACCCAGTTTGACATGCCTGTCTTAGCAGTTTGGGGGAGTGGTATTTAGAGGAAACAGAGCAGACCAACCTGCCCCTTAACAAGCATGTCATAAAAGACGACTAATTACGATTTCGTTACAATCGGAGACTGGGAGCCGCCTGGTGTAAAGGCTAGATGCTCGCTTGCGGATCCGAAGGCTGTAAGTTCAAATCCGAATGAAGCCGGGTTGTTTTCAAACACGACCTTGGCTCCCACTCCATCCAGCCTTAAATGGGTGCCAAGTAAAGTTCTAGGAAGTAAAGGCGGCCGATGTGATGTTGAATACATTACCCATGTATACAAAATGTGAGTCTGGTCTCATAGGGCCGAAACGCCAATGACGTGTAAAGGGATCTTAAAATCGGATGATGATGATGACGACGATGATGATAATGATGAAAGCAATATCATCATTAAGTGCCTTGCCGACTGGTGTGGGCGATCATGCCTCTCCACAATCTGTAACTGCGTGTATCAGTTCGTGTGTTGACACCCCTCCATGCCATGACAAAAGACTGTCCAGAATCTTCTCACGCTGTCTTCCTGTGTATTTCTTTCCACATATCTTTCACCTGGTTACACCATGTTCCATGTTCCCTCAAACATGACCAAAAAAGGATGGCTGTGTTTGTGATAAGTTGTCTTGAAGCATAGATGTCCGATGTGTTTATATAATTAATCCTCCCCCTATGAATTCCCGAGCTCCTGTGGTAGGTTTCAAAGTTGGAGTGCATCTGTCTGAAAGGCGAGAAACTGACATTCTGCTAAACAAAAACAAAAACAAAAAGCCAGCTCTGTAAAACGAATGTGCACGCAAAACCCAAATTCTGGAACAAGACTAAAGCCAGAAGTAGACGAACAACCAGAACTTTCCATCAGAGTTTACCACAAAGCTGAACACGAAGCAGAAGAAAAACATCTAACTAATCATAGAACAATGACTAGAAGGCTCAGTGTGTGGTTCTCAGCCTTCCTAAAGCCGCGGCCCTCTGATATAGTTCCTCAGGTTGTGCTGACCCCAAACCATAAAATTATTCTCGCTGCTATTTCATAACTTCAGTGAATATGTGTTTTTCCATGTTCTTAGGCGACCCTTGTGAAATGGTGGTTCCACCCCCAAATGGATCGCGACCCACACGCTGAGAACCGCTGTTATAGACAGCAAAACAAGAGACTAACAAAAACCAGCAGCGCGGAACAGGAAACAATTTGGAGACAGATGCACAGAGTACTTTTTTTTCTGTGTACGCTCTTGAATGGGTGATTAATATGTTGTATTGTGGTTTAGAGCTAGGCTGTGACATCTGCAGCTTTCAGTCCAGCACACCCGATTTCAGTGAACCGCTATAGACCCACTGCCTTCCTAACAAGCATGTCGTAAGAGTCGACTAATCGGGGGCTTCCTTAGAAGTCGAAGTGAATTTGCCTGAGTGGCAAAGAACTTACATTCAGTATACAAATAAGTCTGATTTGTCAAACGAATGCGCACGCAACACTCAAAGTCTTTGGAACAAGACCAAAGTCCAGAGGTGGACGAACAATCAGAACCTTGTGCTGGAGTTTACAGCGGTGAACGTGAAGAACAAGAATAAGTTGCCTGTAACGATGTGCCTTTTTAGGGGGCAATAAGTGTATTTCTTCCTCCTCCGCCTGACTCCTACATGGGGCCCCGGATCACACACATGGAATACAAATTTACAAGTGTAGATAGTGAGGTACACATTAGTACAGATGCATAGATGAAAAGACACTCATACGTACAGTTGTACAAATCTGGAGATACATATGTGTACAGGTGCACAGATAATCAGGTACACCGTTTGCCTAGACAGAAGTACAGGTGTATCCTTGAACGTTTACTGTCAGGATGAAAGATCAACATTTGTTCTTGCTTC